TGTTTTTTTGTCTAGACGTACAAGTCTTATAAAAATAATTGATTTATTATATGTATCACGTGCATCGCACGGGGTATGCACTAATAAATGACCTTAAAATTGTGCACCCCGTGCATCACCTGTGTTCACATTTTGGCCTATTACAGGTCACGTACTATATATATCTCGTATATTTTTTTTTTATTCATTTATAAAATTATAAGAATGGATAAATGACGTTAAAATTGTGCATCTCGTGCATCGCACGGGCTCTGTACTAGTGTAACATTAAATGTCATATTATTTCTGTCAGTTTTTGAGCTATGACAATTTTTCATTAACTTGAGCGGTCGAGGTGAAGCTGTCTGGGCTGGCGTATGCAAAACAATTACCGGGAAGAGTTCCTGGCGTTGGCACTCCGACGATCAAGTTAGTACGCTTCTTAGAGTATTAAAGATAAATTATGAGGAAGAATGGGTAGCCCGAAAGTACAACGGGCTACACAGGAGGACAGTTGGCTGCTCGGGCGTGCTGCCCGGCTCGAGATTCGTCCTTATCCTAATGATTATGCTTATCTTGATGTGTTCACGCTATAAGTGTTTCTTAGGTCTTTTTGCTTGTCCCAGGTCGTAATGTGTATCGAGACTTTATTCAGGTCACTAGGTCTAGGTCGAGTTGCACTAAGATAGCTAACTATAATGGTACAATATACTCGCTCTATTTTTATTTTTTTTTTCGAAAGGTAGAATTCAATATAAAAACACAAACATACTAGATAGCAACTAAACAGCCGAATATATCGGCTACTCCACTGAATCTAGTTGGGAAGACTACCGTAAAGGTAGTTGTTAACCAAGGTATCCTAGAACCAGCAAACTCTCAATAGGAGAATACAAAATTCCCACAAGTGAAGAATGAAAAAGCTCCTAATAGGAGAATAAAAAACAAAATCACAGAAAAAGAACCTAATACTAGACCAACTAAAGTCCTCCCCACTAGCCGAACAGCACCCCGAACCGTCACCACTCGAGCCACCATCGAGCAAACAAACAAAAGGACAACTACCAAGCAAACTGCCGAACACTTTCCATTCGGTCGAGCTCTGGTCCGCAACAGTCCTTGAACTAGTACGACCCGGTTCATCGTCTCTAATCAATCGATTATACTGGGGGAGCTAGCCCGGTCGAGATGTACATGTGTCGAGCTATGTTACTATCTATATTTAGCCTAAAAGCGGACTTACACAAAATTTTGGACTCTTGAGAATTGCAGTAGAGTTCCATTCAATTCCGCAGCAGCGTGTCGTGAATGCTACTCAGGCCTAGGAAAGTGTGGTTTTCATCAAAGCAAAACAGTGTTCAAGGGTCAACAAACTGCAAATTTCTCAACTTTTTCAGCATACATTTTCCTATAATTTTCTTTCGACACATTAAAATTATTGGTGTTCAACTATCAAGTCAGTGTCAATTTGAGATAATTAATTTTAAAATTATATAGTACTACCTCTTTTTTAAAATAAGTGTCGTATGTCTAGATACATAGCAAAATGGATGAATCAAAAAAGTCAAAACGACACTTATTTTAAAAAGGAGGTAGTACTATATACTATTTTTATCTCATAAAGACACATAAATATATATATAAGAAAAATAAATAGTTATATGTAAACATTATTCGACAAAATTTTAATTCTATTATATCTAGTCATAAACATTCACCACATATATATAAATATATATATATAGATATATAATTTTATTTAAAATAGTAGAAAATATAAAATTGCCCATGACAAGTTTGAGTCAAACAGCAAGTCTCTGTCCATTTGTCATACAACAGAACTTAAAGAAACTAAATAGAAATACATTACAGACACAAAGAACTAACACCAAAGTTAATCCTCTCATTACTAGGATACATACAATCTTCCTGTGTGCATCATCACAACAAAAGCTTCACACAAAGAAAATTTTCGGCCTTTTCGTCACCTCATTAAAAGCTGAAAAGCTTCGTTTCCAGTCTCGAGTTCATATTCATAACCGAGATTATCTGCACGATCCCTGAACTCGTTCATCTCATAACCGGGCACTTGGATACCGACCAAGATGTTTGCCCCAGTTTCTCCCTGTAAATGCAAATTGAAATGAGGATTGTTTTGTGCTGTATTTGCCTTTTCAAACTAAACTATTTAATTTGATTAGTTTAGAAAGAAAAGAAAAAGGTTGGTTTAGAGATCATTGAACCTGTCCCCGGTAATGGAATAAACTTATATTCCAACGTGGACTGAAAGCATTAAGGAATTTCATCAAGGCACCTGGTCGCTCAGGGAAAATAAAACGGCACAGAAGCTCATGTTCAACATTCGATCGCCCACCCATCTGAACACAGAATTCAAAAAATATATATATATATATATCTTCATTACCCGTTCAATATTCTACAATTATTTGTGCCATTTTATCAATGACAAAAATTTGGGTCAAAGTGGAAAGAAAAATAGCAACTTTAGAGAAAAAAGCATTCAAAGAAAGTGAGGAAAAAATCCTGATATGCGGCAAAATCATAACCAGCCGGGATTTTCGCAGACAACTGTACACAATGCGTGCCTGATCTGGACCAAAACTCAAGCATCATTCTCACCAAGTCTCATAAAAATGACAGGACTAGAATGCAAATTACATGATGTCTCCAAACTGAGATACAATAAGAATGCAACTCAGATCAACATGACACATTAAAATCTCGGATGAACAACCGGCTAATCTATCCTCGTTTCTTTAACATCTGCAATTATTTAAATTGTTATTTGCACTTCATCTTGATTTATGTTTTACTTTCTTCAGTCAACAGTGTTAAAACACACATGCACTCCGATAACATGCATATCCTCTACGTCAAAAGATCTTCAAATAATATGCCTTAAACAAAATAATATTAGTAAATAATAATAATAATAAATAATCTGCAATTCCTAAGACTCTAGAGGTTCTCTTTAGACTATCAGGTATTTTTAGCATGAAATGAAATGTCTGAAAAACTACATATCCCAGAAAATTTCAACACAACTTTTATATTAATACCATAACATCTTCCACATTTCAATTTTTCACAGTGTTACTCGTTTGTTTATTCATTTTACAGTATTCTTACATACTCATGATGCAGAATTGCAACCAAGTTTAATGTACACATTGTTTAACTCATTCAATATCTTTCTCATATTGTTCTAATGGAAACTCAGCAGTTCCTTCATAATTGGCTTCCAGCCAAATCTAACGAATTTGCATGTTGCCAACTTGCTTGTGAGCAAGGCCACATTTGAGGATACAAGGCCTTCTAGAATCTTCATTCATCTTTCGCGTAATTACTGAGCCTCGTTTAGAAACGCCTTTAACTTTGACAGAGTTGTAAAATCAATTCAGTAAGTTATAATAGCCAAATCTCACGACTCATTCTAGCTCTTAAACTGGTGAATATAAACCTTGCTTCACTGTGAGCCTCGACTCGAACAGAAATCAAAATCAAATTTACAGTCATTAATGGGTGTGGCTGGAATGAGATCAAGGTCACAGACTCAAAAGTAACTTAGGAAGTAAAGAATTTAGTATCTTAACAAGCTCATGAACATATATGTCAATGATATGAACTAAGCGATTCACAAACTGAAAAAAGTTTTACAAATCCTTACCAAATGTCGCAAATGATCTTTGACCAGGTCATTTTCTGTAAGATTGATTATATGTAGCTGAGATGACTTCAGTTTTTCTACCATAGCATCAAGTTCTTCTATGGTGTGAAGACCCACACTGTACGAAACAAAGAATGAAGTACAGTTAATGAATGAACAATGAAGTACCTTTTTACTTCCAACAGTGCATGAGATGAAATACTCGCCTGCACAGTACTAAAGCTTTTTCTTTGTCCGAATTAAATCTGTATCTGAATTCAGTAATATTAATAGGTCGCAGCTGCAAACGAAACAATAGCAAATTTTATAATGGATGTGGTTTTTCAGAAAATAAATAAATAAAATAAACACACCAGCTCACAGAATTGCTTGAAGCTTCCAGGTTCCTCAGGCATATAAGTTGCCAATACAGCTTCTCTTCTTCTACCAACATCTGCAAGCTCAGTTACCAGTCTCAATCTATCAAAATTCATGTTAGCTCCGCTGGTCAGAGCTACAACATTTGCATCCTTAAGTCCATAGTACTTGCAGTAAGCTTCAGCACCAGCCAGGGCAAGGGCACCTGCTGGTTCTAAAATATTCCTCTTTTCCTCAAACATGTCCTAATATGGCAAATTAACATTAGCATATTGTTTTCAAATCTTGGAGCTCCAGAAGCTACAAGTATTATTCGTATCCATGCAATATTAACATCCACCACAACTGCAAAACTTGTGTGCAGCTTGGGCCATCCTCAAAAACTTTCAGAAGGAAAAGATCACAAGATAGTGTAACAACTATGAGAACACTCACCAACTTTGATAAAATAGCAAGGGCCTTACGGTTTATACACACTGTTATGAACAATGAGAAAAAGACACTGCTATAAGTTATTAAAGAGAACCATGCTAAGATAAAAAAATTGCTCTATCAAAGAGAAGCTCTATCATCAATGTCATCACCTAATATCCCTCATTTCAATAGCTTAATACCAGCCAGTCCAAGAAAGGCATCTGATGAAATGAGGAAAGGAAAGGAAAAAAAAAAAAAGAGAGAAAACATATAAATCAGAAAAAAAATAAAGAAGCTAACCTTTATCGATGCACAAATTGCATCACGGCTCACTAGAACCACACCGTCTATCAGCTCCCTGCAAAGGCGAAAGGTCTCTTCACCCACCACCTTGACTGCCACGCCATCAGCAAAACCTCCCACTTGATCCAGCATCACTCGCTGGCCATGTTGCAGTGACAAAGCCATTGCATTTGCATCAAAAGGTTCGACCCCAATTATTTTCACTTCTGGAGAGACCCTTTTCACATAAGCAGCAATCCCGGCTATTAGCCCACCGCCACCCACAGGCACGAATATTGCTTCTATTGGGCCTTTCATCTGCCTCACAATTTCCATCCCGACAGTCCCTTGGCCCGTAATGACATCCGGATGGTCAAAAGGAGGGATAAATGTTCGGCCCTCCTCTTCGGCCCGTTTTTTTGCATAGAACTGGGCTTCATCATATGAGTCTCCAAACAGTACAACAGTTGCTCCTAATCTTTCAACTGACCTCCACTGGTATCATCAAAGGAAGGGATTAAGAAGAAAGAGCGCGTAATCAAACATGGAGCAAAAGTAACTAGTTAATGAATTAAGGATGGACCTTTATTTCAGGTGTAGTGACAGGCATAACGATCACAGCATTGCAGCCTAGTTTCTGAGCGGATAATGCCACGCCCTGTGCATGGTTTCCAGCTGATGAACATATTACTCCTCTTTCAAGCTGTTCTCTTGGGAGCTTTACCATCATATTGTAAGCCCCTCGAAGCTT